ATATTCTTATTGTTAGATATGTAGATATTTCATATTTATATGAAAATATATATATATATAAATATATATATAATATATCTCACAGTATTTTTTAATATCATAATTATATTTTCATTATACTTTTTGTTTGTTTTTTTCACGAAAATTTATATCTTTCTGTTTGATTATACCATGATTTATCAGATAAGCTACACATATTTTTCAATTGTGCTACCAATTGTTTTTTTTATGAAATTTTTTCCGTTTGCCGCTGCTGTATAAATATATACCTTAGAATATTTACAGGGAAGTTATAAAACTCCACTCTATACTCTAAAGTTTGGAAATAGCTTTAGATATTAAAAGAAAAAAAGAAAAGTAGGTAGAACATAAATTCAATTATTTTTAGAGGCGACTACTTTTATACAAAAAAATTTTTTAATTCTTTTAGGAGATGGATGGAACTTAAAAATTTTTAATGGAAAAGTTGAGTTATACTTTATTTTAAAGATCTAATTTTAAAACATTAGGTATATGCAAACTGTAGATTGTTATGATGTCTCTACTTCTTTAATTACAAGGATATAAAGTTTAAAAATAGCTTTTTAAAAGGTTTTTAAAAAGTTTTTTTTGGCATAAAAGCAGCAATCTTTCTTTCTAAAAATAATCTGAACCCACATTTCATTTTTTATCTAAAGCCGTTTCCAAGATCCAGAGTATAGGACAGGATTTTATAACCACCCCATATATGTTCTGAGCCGTATACTTCGTTTTCCTTGCTTCACAATAACAAGTTTCATTCGTCTGCTTCGTTTTCACGACCGACCGACTGATTTTTCATTCTATGACCTGTGTGTATGCTGTACATAACATATTTATATTTTATGTATACGTGTACATAAAGTACACACAGTCTCCGTTTTCTTTCTCTTATATCAAGAAAATTATGTTTTATCGATATCCATTTTTTATATTGTAAATATAATATAAATATTAATTTATATATCGTCGTTTTACTACCTAATAATTTTGAACGTTGTCATCAACAAAAATTTGCATTAAGAAATATAGCCTTTTTCAAAGAACACTTTTTATTAAAAAATTTCAAAATTATATTAACTAATTTTATTAAAAAATTTAAAAATTATAAAACACAATCGAGGAAAAATTTAAGTTTCAAGGAGAGGCATTACCGTTTTCTTTTAGAAACTCAAATATGATTCAATTGAAAAGCGACTTTATTTAACTATTTTACAATTGCTTTATACGGCTATTTTATATACTCACTGTTAAAAATTTAATGAAATTTAATATACTTTTAATTTACACAACTTGAACTTAATTTCATGACATTACATTAAATTTAATGTATTTATAATTGAAAAGTATATTTGTGTACATGTATTATACATAAAATTTAATGTATTTTTCATGAAAGAAATTTTCATTTTTAAGAAATTTAATGTACACGTTCATTACATTTAAGTAACTACTGTAACTTAATTTTCAATTAAATCAATTATCACTTACAATTTCGTTCATAATCACAAGCTTCATTTACGTGTAAAGGAAGTTCGTCGTCACATTTCTAACATTGGTGTGTATATATATATATATATAATATGTACATTATATATATACATATTTATATGTATATGATATACTTATGTCTTATTCTCGTGCCTCATACATATTATACAATTATAGAAGTACGTATAAATAATTATTACTTATAGTATAATATTTTTCTCTAGAAAGAAGAAATCGATTTTTGTTACATACATAGATTAATTAAAGACGACTTTTACTATTAGCTTTTACCTTATATCTATTTTATAACGGGAGATTAAAATACATTCACGGTCTGCTTGTTAAACATTCATTTAATGTAACTGCATAAGACGGACGATAAATGATCTTGCCATGGTAATCTTACGAAGGATATTTCACCACCGTTATCGCTATTGGCGGTCTTATTTCACGCAAATTACGATCGGACTATCCTTATTGCAGCGAAATACCGCGCATAACTATGCAGCAGCTAAATGTATCTATATTCTAAATCGAGCGTAATGCAGCTGCAAATCTCGATTTAATGAAGACAAATATACTGTGCTATGTTTAAGTGGAACCGTGAATTAATTTCGATTATAAGTTTTCAAATTGGCATCTAGCGGTGTTTTTAAAATATAATCCATAAAAGAGTCAATGTAAAATAAAGAAAATAAGACAATAATAAGATTAAATAAGAAATTAAACATTAACATTAGAGTTAAATAATAATAATGAAATTGTTATAATAATTCTTGAAACTGAGATACGCATATTCCGACGCTTTGACAATGTCTAAAATTTTATAGTCAACCAAGTTTAAATGTGATAAAAATCTCAAATTTTGTGAAGACGGTAAATATTTTTATCGACAAGAATGTCATGATTGTTTATTTGATAGAATCTCAGAAGTTTCCAATTTCTTTGTGCTCGTGTAATATCTAATTTAGCTTCAGCCAATGCTTTCCACGTTCTCCTTATGCCGTAGCGAGTGTTTATGAAAAAAAAGCTTAGTCAAGAAACATCTTCCAAGTTTGCTCCTGTTTCAAGAACGAGCGTAACTTGGAACGCAAGTTCGCAACTGAAATACAAGGTTCGTGTGATATTCTTTTTGTTAAAAGCCGTGGTTGCCGAGGTTGGTGAAGTAATATGGAAGTAATATCGAAGCTCTTCAGTTGATCTCGAACTTTTTAATTGAACTAGCTTATATAAACAGTTTATCAGGTTACGAGATTGACCTAGGATTTATTTTTTAATAAACAAACAAAAATTTAAATTTATCTTGTAGGCTACGATTATAAAAAAAATTGTGTACTGTGCTTATTGCAATTACTCACACCTATTGTAATTATTTATGTTGATCGAGAGATAATTTTACAACTTACATGATATAAATGTATTTATATTGTGTGAGATTTTCTCTTTTCTTTTTAAATATATAAATCAAGATATTAATATCTACGCGATATCTAAGCTGATGCATATCGAGATAAAGCGGTGAACTACCAAAGTTTAATTGCATTTGCCTCCAGTAATAAGGGAAACTTATTTGTAAACTACTCATTTATAAACTACTTATTTAGGATATACTAATTAGTAATTCAAAGTTTGATAACTTTGATATTCCCTATTTTATTCGTAATTGCGTCACGGATATAATCAGAATTTTTATTACGAATACAAAATCTTTTTTATAAACGTAATCTTTCTCTCTCTCTCTCTCTCTTCTCTTTCTTTGTTATCTCTCTACTTATAAGATTCAAAAGATTAGATGATGATTATATGTTATGTTTCTCATATCATCAATATTGTTTGAAAAATAACTATTTAAAATGTAAATAAATAAAATATTAACATATGTATATGAATATTTAAAAAAATTAAATAATCAAATATATTTGAATAAGTAAAGGTTTAATAATAAAGTATCTCTTTTTTCAAGATTTTACATCTACATTAGCATATTTTTTTCTAATGAAATTAAATACATAAACATGTTTTTTCTTCCGATTCATGGATAAAATTAAAGCTTATATCTATTTTGCAAATATTTTACGATATTAATTCTCGCGAACACGAGTTTAATTCAAAGTTGTATTTTTCCATGAATCAGCTATAAGTATGATGAAATGGACGTTGTTAAATTGCGCGGACGAAACAACCAAATCGAATAACGAATACAATATTTGAATGCAAAAGCTCACCACAACAAGTAATATATCATAGCATATATCATAGCAATATATATATATAAAAGTAAACACATATTACACATATAATGCATTTTCTCAGCATCGAAGTAACGTTTTCCTAATTCTAATTTAGAAATCACTCTAATTTTCGATAAACAAATTATATGTTCTGTTTTTTCATTTTAATTTTTCATTGTACAACTAAATTATTATTATTATTATTACGAAATATTATTGTCCAATAATAACAATAATAATAAAATAATCTGAAAAGAATTTAATATTATGAAAATAAAATAATCCCTCAGCAATAATAACTCAGCAATAAAATATTAAAATAAAATATTAAAATTCTTTTATATATTATATATATATATAATTTTCGTAAAACATTGTTTATTAAGCCGCAATGAGAAATCTAGGTTAGAAGGTCAGAGTTCAAGACTGTCCGATTGTACTGCGGCGAATTCAAAATGGAAATAACAATAAAATAGTCGTATGTCGAGAAGACATTAAATTCATGCGGTTTAGCAGGCTGAAAAGGTAGCGTGAAGTAAATTTGGATAACGGCCAAGTGGTGATAAAACCAACGGTGCATCGTACTCGCAGTCGAGAAGGTCGAAGTTGAATAAACATTGGTGATATGAGTTTAAACAGAAAAAAAGAAAGCAATAATTTAGTAAAAACAAGCCGCAATAAATTATTTAATCTAATAAACAAAAAATATCAATTTCTATAAGAATTTTTTCTCGGAGATTATTCGTAGGTACTAGAATACGTCTAGATATAATTTCACTTAATTTTAAAATTTTATTTTTTAATTAAAAGACCGAAGTGTTAAGACTAAGATTTGTTGCAATAATAAAAGTCATCTAGGATTATTATCTAATAACATTTCATGCGACAATTGTAATGAATTAAAATTATTACTCAAGTATTATTAAAAATACATAGTTATTCAATATCTCTAATGTTATTTGTACTAAATTATTACTTATGTAGTACTAGTTATATGTATCTAATGTATTTAATTTCTTCTTCAATATATTAATTGAATCAAGAGATAAATGAAAGCAAGAATTAATATTATATAAAATATTTCTTAAGTTAAATTCTGGATTGCGTATGTGTGCGTATTTGTGCACATATAAAATGGAAAATATATTAGTTAAATGAAAAACATTTTATGAAATATTATGATATTTTATAACATTCCATAAAGTAATTATGCAATTATTATTTATTATATAATAGTTTGTAATCCGTCTTATGTTTTAGGAGCAAAGTCGCGGCTGCTCTGCTAAATAAACATCTGCAGATCAATGGGATCTCGGCCGGTTTGACGTCTCTGCCGACCGTGGACCAATCGTCGTTGGAGTCACAACCAGAAGAGCCGCCAATAACAAGTAGCAGTAAAATGAAAAGAGAGCGGAAGGCAGCTAGAACGCTCGGCATCATCATGTCAGCGTTTCTAGCTTGTTGGTTACCTTTCTTCCTTTGGTAACGTGTATTAGATATTATTTCTTTAAGTTTATTCACGGAAATATAAGTTCAATTAAGATACAAATAGAATTCAATGAAATTTAATATCTTCTTTATTTTTTATTCTCTCTCTCTCTCTCTCTCTCTCTCTCCCTCCTCTGTATCTTTTCGATATATATGTATATATATATATATATATATAATATTCTATTTTTCTTTCATAATTATATTTTTGTGTTTATTATTATTATAAAAGAGATGAAAATGATCAATGTGAACAAAATTCTAGCAGAAAAAAAGGTTATAATCAGAAAAAAAATAATTTTTAACTGTTTATTGATTTATTAAAAAATTCACAAAACTGGGTTAAAAGAATTCTGCTTATTAACTAGGAAAGTTATTGTTTCACAAAATATCACATAGAAAATATAATAATTTCTTTCGATATTTATTAAAATTCAGATTAAAGATTCAGAATTTGATCAATAATATAAAGAAGATATAATCTGCACATGTGTGTGTGTGTGCACTGTTAAATCTATAGTGTCAAATTTAACTTAACGTGAGTCGCCATTGCTCCTACTCAATCATTTCGTTATTTTATACTAAAACAATGGTTATATTTGACACTATACAGTGTCAATTTAACACTATATAGTGTAAATTGACACAATATAGTGTCAAATTTAACTATCGTTTTGATAAAAAACAACGATATATTTAGTAGGAGCAGTGGCGACTCACGTTAGGTTAAATTTGACACTATAGATTTAACAGTGTGACGAAAATGTTTTTTTATCAGTGTGTATCTCGTGTGGAAAACATGCCGTACAATCTGTTACGGTAATTAACGTTACTTTCTCGCGTTAAATAGCGTGCAGTATGTTGGCTTCGTGTTCGCTTCGTGTTTGGTTCGTTAATTACGTGGGTGAGGGGGGGGACGTATGTGAGGTAAATCGTTGGCATGACGTTACATTATCTTTGAGAGAATTTTTAAACGCTTTTAAAAGACACATGCATACTCACTGGGATAGTATAATTTTTTCAATTTTTTAAACCGTTTTAATTATCTTTATTATGCTAAATTAATTAAAAATCCTTAAATTTGCACTGCAAAAAGGAATATGATATTATATACCTTGTTTTATATATAACATATATATGGAAAAAACGGTTTTGCTGAAGTATTTACAAATTTAACTAGATAGAGATCTGAAAATAATATTATTGGACTATCAAAATAATTATATATAGGGTGTTTGATAAGTAGGTAACGATAAAACACTCGCATAGGGGTGGAGCGAACTAAACTGAGAAAAGTCCTCTACCATTTTACAATAATTAACAAGATATTAAATACTAAAAATCGCCGAATATTGGTTTTCAATAATTTTTTATCCAAATATTGTCAACTTTACAGAAAAACAGCAAGTGATAAAAATTGTTTATTTTCTTCTCATAGAGTTCTGAGAATTTTTTCAGAATTTTTTGGTACAGCATTTTCTCATTTTCTCATGTTGATTTTTACCAGTTGTCAATAAGAAAATGCAATACTAAAAAGTTGACAAAAAATTCTGAAAAACTTCTTAGAACTCTATGAAAAGAAAACAAACAATATTTGTCTCTTGCTGTTTTCCTGTAAAGTTAATAGTATTTGAGTAAAAAATTATTAAAAAAATCAATATTCGGTGATTCTTAGTAATTGTGATATCTTGTTGATATCTTGTTAACTATTGCGAAAATTGCAAAATGATACCTACATGACTTTTTGACTCGGTTTAGGTATATCCTAACCTGCTCTACATAGGGGTAGGTGCGAGAGTTATCGTTACTTATCAAACACCCTGTATAAGACGCTCAGTTTGATAACAAAATCTTTTTACTGTAAAAAGTTTTGACATTCTAACAATTAATTAAGCGTTTTATTAAATTATTCTGATGGTTTAAAAAACAAAATTATTTCAGATCTGTGTATCGAGCTAAATTTTTAAATACTCCAGTAAAACCGTTTTTTCCATGTACTGTTATTTTAATATTGCTTATATTGGTTGTTAAGAAACAAAAGGAACCACTGACAGATGTTTTGTTTTACTTCGAATCCGATAAAAAGTTCGTCGAGAGAAATATTTCATTTAGTAAAGTATTTTAAACAATGGCACGTTTCCGACGAAAGACTAGTCGTGAAACTCGATAATTAATTTTGAGCATAAATAGAACTACATGAGATGTAGCGCGTGTAGGATGCATCTTCATTTTGCCCCGTTTTGTGCAAACACGAAATGCAAAAAGTAAAAAAGAGAAGAAAAGAAAATATTGTATACATCAACTGTTCGTTAATTGCTTAATATAGAGCGATCTTACTAACTCAATATGTAAAAACTTTTTCGAGTGAAAAATATTGTTGTCGAATCACAAATATCAATATACTCGTATCAATAAAAATGTAAAGCAATGATAAATAAAAATAAAACAAGATTTTTTTATATGTTGGTGAATATAATAAAAATTTGAAATTTTTAGCGTTTCCACCTAATAATATTCTTCTTCTCTAATGACGTTATAACATCGCTTATCATCAATGAAGGAAGCAATTAATTCTTTTTTTGAAAGAATCCATAATAGCAATTTTATAAAATTACTAGTAATTTCATGAAATTATATGCGATTTTATAAAATTAGAAATTACTGATGATTATATAAAAGAGACATTTGAAAATTATTTGCATTCATCAAATTTCTATAGAATCCGTCAGAGATTTTATATAATTTCGTAGAAAATTAAGTATTCTTTCATCGTGATAAATATATTATAAGAAATAAACATTATGAAGATTTTAGCAAGTGGATGATTGTGCATAGCAATATATAGAATTATTCGCAATTTCCTACATTATATTTATACATTCATATATATATATAATATATTATATATATCAAATTATATTCAATATTCCAAATTACTTAGAATTTTGTGTATGCAAAGAATTGCAAAATCGAACATGTACTGATTGGACATGGACTTACATATGTATACGCCGTCTTTCATGCATTTTCTTTGAACTACGGATTCTTTGCTCAATTCGAAATAAATTACCTCTCAAACGAAAACATGGAAAAAGATTTGAATTTATTACAACTTTTCGATATCTGACATTTTTTAACAGTTTTCAACGAAACCTCCTTGTAACTTAAATTAAAAGACTATTATAAAATTGATAATAAAATCTACTAAGAATATAAAAAAAACTTAATCTAAGGAATATAATTTTATCATATTGATGTATATTCTTATAAAATTTAATTTTTCTAAAATTTATTTTCAAATGCTTGCAATTTAAAAGCAGTTCCACAATATTCCGATGTTATCCTTTTAATAAAAAGGAAAATCAATTTAAGGTTGTCAAAAAATTGCAGTTCAAAAGAAATGTGGTTAATAAGGGACATTTTATTTATTACGAAGAGTTTAATACCAAATTAGTATGTCATATAATATAAAACAGTTATTTTTCAAGTAATTTCCAATAGTATTAGAATAGTATTAGATTTGAAATTTTTCTTTTTAAAACCCACATGTACATATATATATATATATATATATTACGTATAAACATATATGCTACATATATTATGTGTATGTACACTGACAGTTTCTAGAGAAGATACTCATCAATTGAGGTCATTTTCAAGAAATCGTCCATTTGAAGATTATTATCAAACGAAAGCGGATGGCCGAGGAATATTGCGCCGTGTCGCCTCAAAATTCCTAAGGGTGTACTAATGCGGAAAGGAGGTGAGAGTCGGTTGGTCGGACGATTATATAGGGAGGCCGCGATCGATAGGGAAAAGTGTATGCCGCCGTGATCTCCGGAGATTTGCAACGGAGAAAGCTTGAGGGTTGTGTGCAGCCACCTCGAAGCGAAGAAAGGGTGGTTCCGGTATGTGTCAAGTACTTCTCCTCGAGATACAACGCAGTATAGCATGACGACATCACAATAGACTTGTGACGACGAAAGATCGAAAGTCAGCCATTCCTAAATTTAACTTCTTAGTACAGGGTTTTTTCAATAAAACGTCAGATTTTTTATCAACGAAGGGACTGTGTAGGTTGTATGTGTGCAATAAACAACTTCAAAATAAACAACTTTATATATGAAAATGTTAAATAAGTACGTACTTTATATATGAAAATGTTAAATAAGTACGAATTATTTATCATAAAATTTATATTTAAATGTTTTTCATGTATAAAATATACTATTAATTAATTTAATTTAATATCAATCAAGAAAATTTATACATTTAATATATACATAACATGCATATATTTATATGTGTGTACGTATATACCTTCTTTATATATTTAATATTTAATACTGTAATGCGTTTATCCTAAGCATCCTAAGCAAGAAATATCTGTATTTAAACTGAAAAATATGAATTATGTCTTTTCTGGGGGGTTAGTTATCTTTCCAGTTTAAAAAAAAATTTTTATGTGGGCTTTTAACGTACGATAAACATTCATCGCTTGTTAATGGATATAGATGGTTACATTGCTGTTTTATGAGGCACGATATACTGTGCAGGATTTCGAAAAAAAAACATACAAACATTTATATCTATTGCAAGCCAATTATATTTGATAAAAACTATTCATGTTGGGAATATCGAATAAAAAATAGAATTTTTCTATTTTTTCTTATTTTATTAAATCATTAATTAATCTTTATTATATGTTCTTTTAGTGAAAAGCAGAAAAATTTACAAATTTGAATTTAATTTGTAAATTTTTCTGCTTTTCACTTGAATTGTATAAAATAAAGTTTAATTTGAAATACAAGTGATCGAATTTAAGTCAAATTATGTTAATACTTAATATTTTTTTAAACATCAATATGATTATAGTCTAATAAGTTTAGTATATAAGGAGCAGACTTTCAAAATGCGTTTTGTCCAAAATTTGTAATTTTTAGAAAACGATCGAGAAAGAAAGAAACTGCGCACACAAGAAAATTATGCAT